AGAGAGAGAGAGAGAGAGAGAGAGAGAACCAGAGCCAGAGCCAGAGCCAGAGCCAGAACCAGAGCCAGAGCCAGAGCCAGAGTGAGTACAAGCACCAAATCCTTCCAAAATGTACTTTTTCTCAGCGCTGTCCAAGTGCGGCCCACTAGCCACATCAAAAGCACCTCAGCACTTATTACAATGCATATTCTGGGATTCCAGCTCAAACCTGCCAAATCAGAAACCTGGAAACTGAGCCCACCAATCAGCATCCTAGTAAACCGTTCAGTCCTGTCTTTAAAGTTATAAACACAATGTATCTCTATTTTGGTCAAATATCAAGAATTCATCTAAGTTCTCATATGTCCTGAGTCTTAATTGGCCTTGGAAGGCTAGGGCCAAGATGTTGGCTTTCCTTGCAGTCCTCCTTTTTCTCTAATTTTGGTCTGCAAACTTAGGCTGTTAACCCTCCAGAAGAGAAGCTTATTGTTATTACCATACAACCTAGGCTGTTATGCTTAACCTCACTATCTGTCTGAATATCAAACATCTTAGGCATAACATGGAACAAGTATTTTTCATCAATTACAGAATATCATGAAAACACATTTAAAAAATTAAAATATATTTTAAAAGTAGGCATAAGGAATTATATAATTCTTATATTTACACATAAGTTCAGAAATCTAATCATATACAACCTTGTAGCCGGACAGTCCCACAACATTCCTTTTCCTGTATCCTGCCTTCATTTACCACCCACTTCTTTTTGAACAATCATCTACCTGAGAGACAGCACAGCAGCAACTGGCATGTCATGACAAGCAGCCCGTATTCAGAAAACCAAAATGACAGGCACTCCAAGCATGAACCTACTATTACAAATTGCCATCTTCAGTGCAGTTGCTTATTTCACAGGTGTCTGTATATATAGTTAGTCAGGGTGAGAATCATTCCAATTGTACTGTAACATCATGCAACTCATCAATGCCCCAAATTTTCTGATCAAGGAGATTATGGGGCCAAAGAGGAAAGTGATCAATGATATAGAGTGTGCCTAAGGAGAGTTACATGGAGAGAAAACATTCTCTCAGGCTTTCACAGAGAGCACATTGGCCAAGCAATGACCATGAGTCATCCACATGGCTGACACTGACAAAGGTTCTACAATCTGAGGTACAGGATCTCAGGATAAATCCTGAGGGGATTTCACTGACCTTATCAGATCCTAAAGCTACAGCTTTTTTTTGTATAGATCCTGCTTTACCTTGGTCTTAACCATCCAGCAGAAAAGTATAAAAACGAAGTATAAGAAGTAAAGCCATGGTGTTATGTTGAGCTGCAGGGGACTCAGGTCAACAATTTCTGACACTTCCATTCAAGCAGAAGACCCAGTACTATTATGGACTACTGGACTCTTTTAGAATATTTTGCTAAGTTAACACACCTATAATATTCAAATGACGGAACTAAACAAAAAAGGAGATATATACGAATGTCCATTTTGTATCTGTGTATTCAAAATGGTTAGGATAGATATATAGTCACATTCTCTTAATGAATAGAGAGATTTGATTTAATAGTGTTTGTAAATAGGATATCATGTCTGCATCTTGTACAGCAAATAACCACTAGTAAGAGAGTATGCATTGTGTCAATTATTGGAACTATCCTACCAATTTGATTTGAAACTGTCTCATTGCTATTTGTTTCTCAATAAAATTATGGAAAAAATAAATAAAATAAATGCTTCAAAACAAAAAAAACAAATTAAAAAAAAGAATTCATCTAAACATATGATATCCTTTTACCCATTAGTGGATTTTTTCCCCACTACTATTGTCTTTAGAGTCCCCTCTTCTGACTGTACCCACATAAGATTCAAGGATCTCATCAGAATCTCTCTTAAAGAAAATAACTCATTGGGCATATGCCTACAGTACTAATTAGCAACAGGAAATGAATAATGTTTCAAAAGGATGGAGATATAGCCTGGCGCAACTGGAAAGCCAGCCTTTGCTTCTTTACTGTTACTCTCCCTTTTCCAGAAATTTTAAGTTTATTGTGCACGTCTGAGAGAAATTGTTCACCAGATACAGAGAGAGGCTGGTTTAGTTCCCTGTAACTTTTGTTGCATGGACATTCTAGGCCAAGTCGGGAGGAGGAGAGCTGCCCCACAGAGCTGGTTCTAGCCAATGAGGCACAAGCCATTACATCTGCATTCTTAAGTAGAAAACCATCATCTCCCAGTGAAGAAAACACCTTCATCTGTTATTTCTTAAATAGTTCATAGCCTCTCCCCTCCTCTTAGCAGATTTCCTATCATCCTAGTAGAACAAAGTTGATCACATTGAGGCAAGAAAATCCTGGCAGTCTCTGCTATGTAGACAAAATGATATAGCAGATGGATGATCAGGGAGATGAGCTGAAACAGCCATATTATATTCTGTGCTTTTGCTCAGAAATGGACCTAGTCATTCTCCTATAACGTCAAATACTCTCTAGTCATTCTTGTGTTGTGCCAAAGGTTTGACCTCTCAGCTGAGTATGGTGAGAAATAAGGCAACTTTCTTTCTGCTTCCTATGAGGAGATTCTCCTGGGAATGATTTCTGTGCCTGCAAAACCAAATGCAGTAAGAGAAAAATGCGCCCACATCTCTTTCTCTTTGCTGAAGCCCAATGAGTGATTTGAGAGAACTGTAGAAAATAACCTGGAATGCTGGCTGACTTGGTTCTCCCTCTGATCCTGTACTCCACTACTGCCTTGCAAGTTTTTCTCTTGGCTTATTTTTTTTTTAAATGTATACTTAATTTATATCTTGTTTCATAACTTTTTCCAATTGGAGGAAGCTATTTAATTTCTTTCAAAAGCTGTTTGGGGACATTAGAAGACTATGGTTTGCTATTTTGAAAATACAATGGCAGTTCTATTTTTAGGACTTCTTCCATCATTCCCATGATTAGCTTGTCTCTGGGGTCTTCAGGAAAAAGTCCATTTAAGTTTGCTGCATCCAGAGTCTGACTTTTTTAGGATGCTTTTATTATTTTTTTTTAATTAGAAAACATTTTAGATAGTCTCTCTGTCTCTGTCTGTCTCTGTCTCTGTCTGTCTGTTTCTGTTTCTGTCTCTGTCTTTCTCTGTCTCTGTCCCTCTGTTTCTGTCTCTCTGTCTCTGTCTCTCTGTCTCTGTCTCTCTGTCTCTCTCTCTTTCTGTGTCTCTGTCTCTCTCTCTCTCTCTCTCTCTCTCTCTCTCTCTCTCTCTCTCTCTCGACTTGCTTTGCAGGTGTGAGTATAGACTGGTTAGGTGCCACCAGGATATCACTAAGCCACTTCAGCTGGGAGCTGCTAAATGGGGGCAGTGTCTCCAAGGGGGATATTTGTCATTCTTGACATTATCCTTTATGTGAAAGAGCCTTTGTTAGAGAAGCATTTCCATTTTAGTGGCTGAGAAACCCTAGCCACCGTTATGACCTTGTTTCCCTCACTTGGTGCTGGAGAGACAGCCAGAAGCTGGTGGGCCCTAAAGAGCAAGGAAGCCCCTCCTGTTCCAGATGTTCATTTTCTGTGGCGTGGTCCCCAAGGCAGGGGAGCAAGTGGGGGAGTAAGGACAGCTCTGTGCATGTATGTGCAAGCATACAAATACCTACCTGTATACAGGCAATGTACATAGCATTCTGGGAATGCATGACCTAAATACTTTATTTGTATATAAATCCCATGTTTACAGGCAGAGCACATTTTAGAAAGATGTATCAGAATTTAATAATTAGAATTCCATGACATTAAGAGGTTCTGTAAAGAGCAATCCTATAATTCATTTTTCCCTTTAGGAAATTAAACTCATTTTGTTTACTTTTGCAATGCTTTATTTGGGGGACTATGTCAGATTTAGGTACTCTCTGTTATGCCCAAGAAATACAGTTTGTTTTTTGATTTGGCACTTGCATGCACACAGCATCTCTTTGAAGTGAACTGAATAGGAGGAAGGCAGGTGTGCTTCCTGTCCACCTCAGGCTTCTTGTGTATCGGGAGAGACAGATCATGAAGACGAGCATCAGCAATAAAATGTGCTGTGCTGTGCTGTGCTCTGCAGTGATGGAAAGGTGGCTTAGACTCCGTGCAGACAGACTGATGTTGCCAGGGGTGGAAAGGCTTTAGAAAGAAGGGGTCTTGCAGCCCACAGTGAGAGATCAGTGAGGACTTTTCGAGGAATGTTTCTCTAGGAAGAAAAGGACAAAAGTCATTGGGAAAAGGCGAGACGCTTGTCATCCACAGGAGCAAGAATCTCCAGACCTTTGTCACCAGTCTCCTTATCATCAGTAAGAACTCTTAGAAGGAGCAATGCCAGCTTCTTTTTTCACACAAACTGGAAAGGGTGCACTTTCTCTCACCCAGAGCCCTTCAGAACCTTTATAAGGTATAAAATGGGATACATGCATGAATGCAAAACCAGGAATCTATTACCTAAAAATACTTAAGATGAAAAAGGAAAGCCAACCAGGATAGAGGAAGGTCGGAATTTATGATTCACAAAAGGACTTTTAAATAAGCAAGTTTCGCTAACCTGGCAGTATGCATTAGGGCCACTGTTGTCTGATCTGTTGGCCACACTCCCCACAAGTGTGAAATTCAGAACAAGGCTTTTTCTTTCTCTCTTTCTCCTTTAAGAGACATTGCACCTTCTCCCACCTACAGCCCTGACACAGGAGACAGTAGGAAGCAATGTCTCTCAAGCAGAGGGCACCTAGGCCTTCTTTGTACAGCCCTTCTTCTTGTATTCTTCATTTCAAAAGAATTCCACATCAGCATTCCTGTCAGCCTCAATTTTTTTTAATGTATTTTGTTCAGGGTCTCACTACATAGCCTGGACTTGTAGTGATCCTCCTGTTTTCAAGCCTCGCAGTGCTGGGATTCCAGGCATGCACCACCACACCTGAACTCAGTCGTGGGCTCAATGCACCCAGGGGCGGGGCCAGTGTGGCACATGGTGCCAGGGATTGAACCCCGGTTTCTGCACGTGCCTAAGCCTCTTAGCTTCTAAACTCTTTTATACCACTTCTAGAAGATGCTTGTTTTATTCACCATTCCAAGACACAAATATCTGTAATATTTGTAAGAACTACAAGTTGCCATTTCCTTAAGGCACGATGCTGACCACGAGGCAGTTGCAAGGAAATCACTCTGCCACTGCTGTCAAAGCTGCCTGGCCTCTGCACTAACAGAGCAGGGACCTGATAAGGCAGAGGGCTAAGGGAGCAGTTCTCTGCTTATGGGTTGGGTCCTAGATGGGAATTCGGATAATTTTTTGACCCAGGGAAGTCATATCACTTCTGGTCTGGATGGAAGACAGAATCAAAGTCTGACAGAACTCAACTAATCAGCAGCAGCTTGTAATGAGGAGACAAGATTGAGAGTTTCCATTTTATACACTTTCTAGAAGATTCTAAGTATGCTTCTGTTTCTGTCTTCTCTCCTTGATGCATATCTGAGGCTAGCAGACATGCCTTATGTTCATACTGCGGTGGGAGTACAAGGTGTGTTTCAGGATATGATTGAATAGGACTGTTGAGTGGTTGGCCTACCTCTTCATGTTCTTCCCAGTGCCCCTATAAGAGTGGCTGCTGGTTTTCACAGACATAGATGACGCTGCCTGACTCTCCAACTGTAAGACAGAGTACGGATTTTCTTTTCTTGTCTGATAAGAGAATACAAAACCAGATGCCTAGTTTCCTGTGCTGCTTTGTAAATGGTATCGATGCCAGAGAAGTAGACTTACAAGGGAGCATGCCAATGTTGCTAAGAAGCCTTTGGCACATTCTCTTGGCTGCGCCCTTAACATCTCAGCCCCAAATGACAGCTATAATCTTACCCTGCCCCATGGATGACTGTATCATTACTATCAATATGAGATTCTACTAATCACAAAGAACTGAAGTGTCATTTGTCATGATGTGCAATTGATGAGTCATGGAAACCCAGTTCTTGGGTCACACTAGTGGCTTTTTTAGGCAAATAATTTCTAGGATCCACTCCAGGATTCTGATCTGGTAGACAGGGAACAGAAAGACCCTGGGAAAGTATTTAAGGGTTGAATTTGCTTCCCTGTCCCTCTGACAGGCAACCAAGTGTGGGACCCACTGTCCAAAATGTAAGTGTTGGTAAATGGGAAAAAAACAAAATAAAACATGAAAATTTAGTCCTTTCTCCTTTGAGGAGCTGTTCTTTGCATAATTCTTTAGTTAGCAAATTCATTAGAATACTCCATTTGTGGAAGGTATAGAAAACTACAGCACAAATTATTTTTGGACATGTTGTCTTATATTTGTCAAATATTGTACCTGTATTCTAATCACAGACCTCAAGTTTGGGAACGCTGATACAAGATGATTCAACCCAGTCCTCCAACCTACAGAATCTTCATTTTTCTGTCTATGTAGAATCCTAAAAAGTAATCATTTACTCTCACCTGAGCGCATTCACAGCTCACATCCTCAGTCCTCAAGGAGTGTGCATCTTGGGCAACTCCTCCCTGGCACCCTGAGATCTGGAGGTCACCGTGGAAGCCAACAGTAGAGTTGAGAGCTAGCACCAGCTAGTTACAGCCACTATGTATTTGTAATTACCACACACTTTATTAGTAAAACTGAGTATCATCCTGCCTCCACTAAGCAGGTAGAACAAACATTTACTTGTCTTTGCATAAGGTTTACCCAATGCAAATAGAAGTTTCAACGTAGTACATTATTGTACCGGATTTCCCCTGTACAGTCTAGCAAGAGCTGGGCAAATTTACACTGGAATTGTTCAAAAGGTTGGTGTCTATATCTCTAAACAAGATGTACAAATATTTTAGGGGCTGAAAAAGTAATGTGTCGTGTTTTTGTGCTCCTCATAGGAACAGTGTCAGTGAAGACAAAAGATGGATTTTGACAATATGAAGTTTAGTGGGGTTGGTTTTTGAGGCTGAAATATTAACTGCAAATGAACCTGTGGCGAAGTAAAGGGTGTATTTGTTACTATCACTGTAGGAGGAAGCACGCAGTGTGCTACTATAAACTGACATTTTCTTCATGAAGCTTCTTAATTTTGCTACCTGTTGCTATCCTAAACAAATGCAGCATAGTGTCTTTGAATGCTCCAATCTGTATATACATTTGCCTTTGGGGTAAATTAAGAAATAGAAAAGCTTGCCAAAATCAAAAGCATGTATGTTACTGGGGAGGGTGCAGGGAACTCGATAATAAAAATGTTATTTGAATTATTTGCATTATTAATCAATGGGAGTTTATTTCTATTCATTTCATGTGATTTATTTTGTTTGTTTATTAGATCAAAGAATTTAAGATTTATTATTAAAAAAAGGTCTTTCCTTTTTTTTAGGCTTTTAACTTTTATTTTTGAGAAGTAAAGGCTATAGAGTTGACAAATTTGAATAACCCTAAAATTGCATGAAGAAGAGATGTTCTTAAAACCACACAGCATGACTCTGTAGGCAATGGTAGAGGATTTTGAGATTCATTGTTGAATTCCGTGCACATGTTTTATTTTATTTAATTTTTTTAATTTGCATGTCCAGAAAGTGGTTCCCTTTTTTTCCTCGTTTTTTCATTTTATTCTCTGTGAAGACACTGTACGTTTATTTTGATCTCATTTTCTTTTCGTTAGATTTATTTTCTTCCGTAGTGATGTTTAGAAAGGTAGCTTTGGTATCATTCTTTGAATTCTTCAGGGGTTACAGCTAACTGGTGACAGCAAACAAATCTTGTTCACATTGGTCGCTTAATGATTGCACATCTTAGTACTCTTATAATTTCTCTAATTTGCATGTTACAGAACTGAAACCAGGACAAGAAATAGAAATTAAAGCGAGAGAACGTTACAAAGTGGTCGTTGACTGAAATAATAATCTGCATGTTGTTTTCCCTTCTCCCTCCTGCATGCAGGGATTTGGTTTCGTAACTTTCGAAAATAGTGCCGATGCGGACAGGGCGAGGGAGAAATTACACGGCACCGTGGTAGAGGGCCGTAAAATCGAGGTGCATGTTCAAAATATTTTCCTTTTCATCTTTTTTATAAATGTCTGCTTCACGCTCATCCGTTGTTCCAGATGCATCATTGGCGTCTTGTATGTGACCCTCCTCCCTTCTCATTGTTTATATATATATATCTTTATATATAAAAAGGAAAACTGGCCTTACTTTTTGTTTTTAATTTTACTTTATTTTGTTAATCTTTTTAACTGCTGAAAGGTGGATGGCAAAAGAGACCAAAAATACAACAACAACAAAATTAAAAAGAGGTTCAGCTGAAAGGGTTTTATTTTTTGCTTTTGTTTTTATTTTCCATGTTTTAGAAACAATGGGTGCAGTAGGTTCCAAAGAGAAGGCAGCATTACCAACCAAACAAAATACAGGACAGTTTCTTTTTCTTTTCCTTTCCACATCAGGGTTGAAGAGGGATCCACAGTGGTGTGTAAATTCTACAAAATTGCAAAAGCAGTAGCATTGGAAAGATCTGTGGAAAAAAAAAAAATGAGAGGCGTTTATCATTAAACCTTTCTTTCTTTCTTTCTTTCTTTTTTTTTTAAGAAGCCAGTTTTGAAATTTTATATTCCTTTGATTATAAAAGCAGTAACAAAACAGGATTTTCTGTCCATTGAATATGTAAAGACTAAAATTCTGACAACCTGAGCGTGCTGTTTGTACCACTGGGATCCCCCTCAACATGGCCAGAGGGTCATATTTGTTAAAACTTGAAAAAAAAAAAACCAGTTAAAAATGCTTTAGTCTTTGGAGTAAGATGTTGCATATTTTGCCTTTCATTTTCCCCCTTCGACGGTAACGCTTAGGCCCCTCACCAAACTCTCAGTAACCATGGTAACTGTATACAAACCCATGCTGGCGATGGTGGTGAATGGTAAGTGGTGAAGTCCATCTGCCGTTTCACGTATTTAGTGCTGATATATCTATATACATATATATATACCACGTGAATTTTTTGACTTGTTGTATTAAGTTTTCTTGATGCTCTATTTTTTTGGATATTGGTACGCCTGTAACTGAGTGTACGTTCTAAGCTAGCCTGGGAGGCTCTGACTGGATTGAGTTATGACTGGTGCACATCTTACTCAGATCGTTAACTCCATATTGTGTTACACAATGCACCCTCTCTTTTATCCTTTCGTTAGCTGTGACTTTAAAGCTTGAATGATTTGTTAATTCTTGCTATGTAAAGGCTCTGTTCCAAGTGTTGAATGCTAGATGTTGCTTCCCAATGGTTCCTCCCTCCTGAAGTGTTGCACACGGCTAAAACTTGTTTGTCCCTTTTTTTGACATTTATGTTCCCTGTACCTTGTCTCTTCCCTCTCTACTCCACTGCATGTCCCTTCATATGAACTTTATTTTATGTTTTAAAAACGATTTATTGTTTCTGTGTTACCATGGAGTACACGCATGCTTTTAAATCTTCAATTATGCAGTATCTTTTAATTTGCTTTTACTGTCTCTTTATTAAACTTTTAAATGAGATGACATTGCTTTATTGAAATGATTTGTAAGTTAAAACGGTTATGAAGTAAATGTAATTATAAAAATGTATGATTTTGTTATGCACCTACTGCCTTTTATAAATTAAAATGCATTTTAGTTTTTGTTTCGTTTTTGTTTTTAATAAGTAATCACAGTCATAATGCATGCAACTAATTGAATTGCGGGCTGGGCTTGGAGTTTGAGCTCATTTGGATTTTCTATGTACATAGGTAAATAATGCCACAGCACGTGTAATGACAAATAAAAAGACCGTCAACCCCTATACAAATGGTAAGTAGAGATTGGCCTTTTCTAAGGAGTCCCCTCTGGCTCTGTAGCTATTAAGTTATGTAACCAGGAAATTTGTTTTAGCAAACCATGTCTGACTCCTCTGCACGGCCCCTGTGTCTTTGCTCCTGACCTGCTACAGGGAGCCACCTAAATCAATAAGATTATTTTTTTGCAACAAAGGCCCGTTTAGTTTCAGGTTAAGTGTGTGCACCTTGCTCTTGTCTCTCTAGAATAACTCGCACTAGGGGTTGAGACCAAGGAATTATTTAGGAGTTATTTGGTTAATTTAATTCTAGTAAAAAGGGGAGAGAATGGAGGATTCATCTGTTTTGTTTTGTTTTGAAAAGGATTTTTTTTTTTTTTTTTTTTTTTTGTTTTTTTTTTTTTTTTTTTTTTTTTTTGGCTACTTCAGGCTGCCTTAAGGGCAGATCTGGTGCAGCTTCTGCAGTTGGGCATCAAACTGCAATCCTATGCACCTTACTGCATTTGCCCAAGTGGTGCTTTAAACAACTGAGCCATCAGGCAAGGCCCCTAAAAAATTGAGAAGGATTTTTTTGGGGGGAGGGGGTGGCTGAGGCTGCCTTAAGGGCACGTCTGGTAAGGCATGTGGAACTGGGGATCAAACCGTGGCCGCTGACTGCATTTGCAGGAGCAGGCGCTTAAACAACCGAGCTACCCCGCAGCCTCCCTATTCTGTTTTGTTTTTACCTCGATCTCCCCATTGATCATTACTCCTTCTTGGAAGGTGGCCACAAGAATTCATTCTGAGTTTGCCTCTTCTCCAAAGCTACTAAGCTTTTGAATTCACTGGAAAGGGGCACTAAACAGAGGCAGGCAGAGAGGGCAGAATGTGTGTGTGTGTGTGTGTGTGTGTGTGTGTGTGTGTGTGTGTGTGAATTACTACCCAGGAACATCGAGGACCAAAAGAGGGTGTCCTTGTGCCCCTTCCAAGCAATGCATTTCTGCCCTTGTCAAGAACACTTCTCAAAACCTCTACTAAAAAGAATTCACATGTGTATGAAGGATACTAAATATGTTCAGACACTTTGCTTCTTTCATCGTCAAAATAAATAGCTCTCAAGATATATGGAAGGAGAGGCCGGGAGATAGCTCAGTAAAATAAACACTTGCCTGGCAAGTGCAAGGTCCTGAGTTCAATCCCTGGTACTGAAAAAAAAAAGATGCATGGAAGGAAATATGTGTGACATTAATTAATCACATACTTAGTTCTACTAACACTTGAAAAGAAATTAACAGTAAATTATAGATATTGCACTTAATAGAATATCATACCTAGGAAACTGTGTAGGCTAAAGGCAATGAAGAATCTCATAAGTAAAGTAACTGAAATGACTAAAAACATGTGTATTGTGTAATTTTGACTAGGTGATGGTGGCAGTTCCACCAAAATGTTACTGCTGTGTCACATTGCTAGGCTAGATGATTTCAAAGTTTTCAAAAATAATGTAATTTTATTACAATCCAACAAAAATATATCTTTTTTTTTCCATTTTAAAGTTTCAGTTATATGTAGGACCTAGAAACATAGACTACTTTTAGAAGAAAAGAATTAAATAAGGAAACAGTACAAAGATGACTAAAATATCTTTTGCCTACTACTATTTCCAGCTTTTTCTTACATTCCCCTTAGGGGAAGCCACTATCACCCATTGTTGTCTGTCGATCTATTTTGTATTTTAGCTGCTTATGGATCGTATTCATAGTATTGTGTACACATTTTTATGTAAATGTTGCAATACATATCAGTTTTAATTGGGTTTTATAAATCAATATGAAGTCCTCTCAATGGTAGAACATACAGATTAAACCAATTCCTTCAGTAGTTTCACAATGTTCCGTTATATATGCATCGTATATATAATTATATATATATATGTTTATATTCAGAAATTTATGCTGATTGATATATAATCATTTACTTATTTGTATTTGTTTCTTTTGTTACAAGTAATAGTATTAGCATTGGTCACTTTCTTTTTCGTTTTCCTTTGCCAAGCTACCAACTTGGCAAAGGCAGTTTATTTTTATTTTTAAGAGAGTTTTAGAACAGATAATTTGCCCTCGACATAATGTACCCCTAAGTCAAAAGAGCAGAAGTTTTTATTCTGAGGAACATTTTTCCCAGTTCCAGTAACCCAAGACTTACACTTAAATGGTATAGATGACTTCCACCAAAGTTGGCGAAAATCAAGCCCTATAGTGAAGCAAACTGCTGGTTAATGTGTCATGAAGTCTTTTGATTTGAGTAAAAGTAATAGCTATGCAACTTGCCAGAGTTAGTATGCAATGACCTCAACCTATTGTATGCTTTTCTAAATTATGAACTAGCAGTGGGGTGTGTGTGTGTGTGTGTGTGTGTGTGTGTGTAAAAGCACAAGGTGTTGGGTACCTGTGCAAAGGAACACACTTGTGCCGAGTGAGAAGACTAACAAAAACCAAATATTACTCCAAAAGTCATACACATATAATATATGCATATATAGTATTATATGTACCTATAATTTGTAAAAAAGTATTATTGATCAATGTCATATTCTGGCACTGAAACCAAGCCTATAAGACTTTTGGATGCAACTCAAAGCCCATTTATAGGTGTCTAACACTTCTGGAACACTGTATGCTTAGATGAAGCATTTTAAAGGCACTGGACCAAATTCCAGCCTGGAAGGAGAACATCATTATCCTTTTTTTAAAGATGCATAAGCATCCTGAGATAGGTGACAGGAAATAATTAAGCCTTTTACTTTTATTGTAAAGTGATAAAATCTTGCAATAAGGCCTCTGTGTGCAGCAGGCATTACTTCGCCCCTGCATTTTATATAAGTGCATCCCAGTGGCAACCAACAATTTATTAAATGTGCAACCTCAGGTTCTTGCCAGATGTTGGCATAAGCATCCCACATGCTGAATTTCTAGGAACAAGCCTGGTGGGGTTTTCTTCCATGGACCTGAGAAGGATTATTCCTGTCACACACTCTGAGCCTGGCATGTAAGGCCTTGATGGGCAGTCACAGTTGAACTGATTTACAGGACAAATGCAAATCTCAATTATGCAGAGTCAGTGACTTCTACAGAGGAGTGGATACAGGACTCTGATAGTTAATGACAGGTATTTTTCAAAGCTTTTCCAATTTTTAACTCCTAAGTATTACCACTATAAATAGCATCCCCCATAAATTGTAATATCATAGAACTTGGAAGATCTTCCCAACAAGGGGGTCTTCCAAATTCTTCGTATGGTGAGGATAAGAAAGGGTTAGGCAAGACCACTTAGAGTCACACTGGAATGAGAAAATAAGTCCGTGATCACAAACTATCAAAATCATGCCTTAATCAAATCATAAACTTTTGGTCATCAAATTTTGAAGTCATGTTCCTATAGTGAAATAAGACTGTGACTGCTAATACCAGATTCATGAATTGCTTCCACTATGTATCCCACTAAAATGCGAACAACTGAATTTTCTGGTGGCAATTGAGACCAGGTAGTAAAAGCCCTTGGAAATTTGTGTCTAGGACACTCTACATACAAGTTCATGCAGGATGCAGGTTAAATTCCCAGGACTTTTAAGTGTGGAGATGAGACTATAAAAATACATGCTTTGGGAAATTGCATGGGCTAGAGGGCCCCTCAGAGCAGGACTGGTACTTATTTTGTTTCATTTTTTATTCCAAGAACATCTCCCTATAAAGGAATGTTAGGGTTTACCATGTTCATTGGTTACCAAGTGTTGGATCTGTGAAACTACTTGGGAGTTAAATTAGGAGCGATTTTTTTAGAAGTTGAGGAAGTTTAGGTTTGTTAGACATGGCTTTCATTTGCTTAGTGATTTTCAGAATGGTGAACACTGGACAAAAATATGTGAGACTTTAAAGAGAAGTGGGCTTCATACCCTCTAGAGCTTTACCAGTCACTGGCTATTGACCTTTAGGAAAGTTACTTAAACTCTTCCTACACAAACTTTCATAAATAGAACCTGTATAATAGGCATTTGTGATTAACATGGGAGATAAAGAACTCAACATGCTCAAGGGCCCGGATTCGATCCCTTGCACCACAAGCTGTGCCAGCCCTGACCCCGGGGTGCACTGAGATGACAGCTGAAGCTAGCCATGGTGGCATATACCTGTAGTCCCAGCATTTGGGAGGATGAAAACAGGAGGATCACCACAAGTCTGATCTATGTAGTGAGACCCTGCAGAACCTGGAATAAATACATAAAAAAAGAACTCAGCACAGTGGTAGGAATACAGAGTGTCCTATATTTTTTACTACTACTTGTAGTACACTGTTACCTAGATATACAATATCCTCAATATTAAGCAGTAATCTTGTTCATGTTTTGCTGTAGACAGCAACTTGAAGTCCCAGTTTAAGGATCAGTTGTTCTGATCTAAGAAGGGCTGAGCAAGTAAAATCCGGCATAAAGCAAAAGTAGGTCTTTGAGAAATTCAGTCTTAAACTATCTTTTGTTTCTACTGAGTAAAGCGGGAGATTTCTGTATTAGAGAACAAAATAGTGTAGGGTTACAATATAAGATAGAGCACCAGGGCTGGCCAAATAGTTTAGCAGATTGAAGTGCCTGCTTAGGCAGATGCAGGGGCCAGGAGTTCGATCCCCAAGCCTGCTGTTCCGGCCCTGCCTCTGGGGCGTATTGAAACAGCAATTGAGACTGGACATGGTGGTGTGTGCCTGTAATCCCAGCACTTGGGAGGCTGTAAACAGGAGGATCACTACATGCAGTGAGACCCTGTAGATTCTATAGACCTTGTCCTAAAATACAAGAAAAGAAGAAAGAAGGAAGAAGGAAGAAG